AACTGGCTTACCGAATAATGTATTGACAAAATCTGGATTATCGATTTTGGTAATATTATAACGAGAAAATTAATGGATGTTCGCCAAGTGTATTTTCGGTAACCCAATTTGTAAACCATTATGACAATGGAGCATGACTCACCCAAACACTCACTTGCTCTAAATGTGATGCTCAGAATAAGTGTAGTTAGGTGAGAGGAAAGCTACTATTGTTATATCTTCTGGTCAGCGTTTTCATCTATACTGGATACAATATTTTAGGCCTTCAAAAGATAATAGTAGTTATTTTTTATTCCTCATGTTTTGCTCTTCAGCGAGATGTTGTTTCAGTTATAGGACCCAACATCAGGATTTCGGTTGTTCATGTACTAGGAAGCACTTCACTTGTTTCGCCTTTAAAGTTGATCAATTTGGAAGTGATAGGTTGTAGGTGAATTTTCAGCCAGTGGCTTCTGATGGCATAGTGATGGTAGAGTTGTGATGGTTTAGGCATTTATTTATATTCAAAATGTGGGATTCAAGGGTTAAAATGCAGTTTTCTGTATGGTGAACGACCAACATGGGGAAGTCATTCTCGGCCAGAAATCTTCCATCATATAGCACGAATCAAAGAATCCACTTGCAAACTGAAAAAGACTTTGAGTTACTTCTAAACCATGCATGATTCTGACCCAATGAAGCACACAGTTACACATATAAACTTCAGAAAAGGTGAAGTCAATTTGTCGAGATTGAAGTCAGTGAAACAGATACTATTCACAATCTGAAAGGCTTACTCAAAATTATAATATCTTAACTAGAAATAGAATGCTGAAGGAAATAAGTTCCTTTTCTATACCACAAGTTTGAGCTAGTGCGCCATACCAGGTTTTTCTTTCTCTTCTTTTAATCTTTTCTTTGTAAATGTTTAAATGTGTCATAACCACTTACACATAAGTTAGAAACATTGTCGAGAAATATAATTAATCACGGTTCTTCAGTTTGATATCCTCGTATTTAAGATTGATGGGTATTCTTTTTCTTTTGAGGCATCTTATGATGAGTATCTCCTTTTATATTTATTACTAGGAGGCCCTCACCTAAATATATGTACACATATAAGGTGTCTTTCAGTCTACTTGGATAACTTTAATGTTTTTATTTTATTTTCTATATATTATGTACTTATTTATCAGGAAATGAAAGCAGTTGCTATGTTGTGTGGTCATGCTTCTTCAATAGCTGATCTAGGAACTTGCTTTCCCTTTGAGGCATCGGAAAATGGAAAATCCCCAAATTCAAGTAATGGGTTATCTAATCGTAATTCCATTAGCTGTGGTGCACTAATAAGTGCTTGCATTGATGGTGTATTATGCGTTTGGAGTAGAGAAAGTGGACACTGTAGACGAAGACGGAAACTTCCTCCTTGGGCAGGGAGTCCAGTCATGATCAGGTCATTGCCCAACAATTCTAGATATGTGTGTATTTCCTGTTGTTTTGTTAGCCAAGAGCGCGAGCTACTTAATTCAGTGGAAACATATGAGCTATTGGGGGATAAAGAATCAGAAAACCCTAACCCTTTGAGATGTACAGTTGTAATCGTTGACTCATTTACTCTTACAATTGTCCAAACTGTTCTTCATGGGAATGTATCTATCGGACCTTTGAAGTCCATGGCCTTAGCTTTGCCTTCAGATGACATCGAGAAGCAGTCTGTATTAATTATTGATTCTTTTGGTAAAGTGCTAAGTTTACCAATAATGAAGGTATCTAGCCCGAGATTTCAAAATGTGCCTTTTGTACCGAAGGATTTCTTAATGTCAGAAGTGGTGGACTGGGTAGATGAGCCAAAAGATAGGGGATCTCTGGTGGCTGTTACCAGTTGTGGGTATATTTTGGGCCTTGTTTATAGAAGACATTGCACATTTAGACATGTGGAGAATGGAAATGTAATTGGCAAGATATTGTTTTCGGAAAACGAACTGTATGCTGGAGACAAGTTATACATAGTAGGTGGCGTATTCCTAGATAACAATGCCAGTATCTCAAGCAATGTGTTTGTAAAAGAATTTGTAGCGTGGAATAATAGCGGTGCTGCCGTTATATACCAGATATCATACTTGAGCAATATATTCAAGACTGATCCTCTATCACTAATCCCAGCTGTATTGCATCCTTCTGATGTTAGACTATCCTTCTCCTTCGTATCATTAGATAAGTATCTGCTTCGAGTTGAATCAATTTGCTTGCCTGTCAAGGAACGTAAGTTTTGGAGACCTCGTGTTACTGTCTGGCTTTTGCCTGAGAAAAATGGAGATTTTGGGAAACTCCACTCAGAGTGTAAACTGTTTGGAAAAGGCGATCTTTTTGCTGGCTGGACTACGAGCTCGTCTTCATCTACAAATGAGGGCCTAGAACATGAAAATCCTGAAGAAGGAACAATTATGACTGATAAAATGACTCAATTAGAAAGTGGTTTATCAGCAGGTGTCACATATGTGACTGACCGAGGAGGTCAACTAGTACTTTCTTCAATGGTTATATCAGAAAACCACCCTGCCCCTTATGCCATTGTCTATGGATTTTGCAGTGGTGATATTGAAATTGTTAGGTTTGACATGTTCTTTCCAGAAATTGCTTCACTTGTCCAGAGTTCGCATCATGAAGCCAATTCTCAAGGCCAAAAGCAGCATCTATCTGGTCACAGAGGAGCAGTGTTATGTTTAGCTTCACATCAGATGGTCATTAGTTCTGGAGAAGGTAGTTTAAGACAAGTTCTGCTGTCAGGTAGCATGGACTGTACAGTTCGTGTATGGGATCTTGACTCTGGTAGACCCATAATGGTGTTGCATCAACACGTAGCTCCAGTACGGCAAATTATCCTTCCTCCATCTAAAAGTGAGTACCCATGGAGTGATTGTTTTTTGACTGTTGGAGATGATTCGTGCATCGCCCTTGTTTCACTTCAAACTATGAGGGTCGAGAGATTGTTTCCTGGACACATGTACTTTCCAACAAAAGTCCTGTGGGATGGTGTAAGAAACTATATAGCATGTCTGTGTCTGCACCGCTCATCAAAAGCTGATGCACTCGATTTTCTATACATTTGGGATGTAAAGACGGGTGCTCGTGAGCGGGTTCTTCGTGGAGCTGCTGCTCACTCAATGTTCGATCATTTCCTTAAATCCATCAATGAAAGTTCTTTGTCTGGCACTTTGGTGAATGGAAATACTTCGGCTTCCTCTTTAATTTTTCCAATTGTTGAACAGTCAAAGCTTCCTCTATCTAATTCTGCATTTTCTAGGAAGAGTATTTCTCCAGGAATATCAACAGAAAGTAAAATTGATACAAAAGCAACGGGATCATTACATGCTATGAAGGGATTTTTTGCTAAATCAGTGTCCTTCCAAAGTGGCATGCACCCGATTACAAGCTGTTCTCCTTTTCCAGGAGTCTCAACATTGTGTTTTGACCTAGATTGCTTGATGTCACTTTGTTCATCGACTGGATTGTCTGAAGACGAAAGCCACATTGGTGAGAAACATTTCATGAAGGAAGCTGGAACTAGCAGGCCTAAAGGTGATGCTTCTCAGAGGGCAAATGCTCTTCTCGGTGAACCTGGTGGGGAATTGCCTGGCCCTCAGAATGTGAATGGAAAAAGTGTTTCTGTTTCAGATGGGCCATCTGTTGTTACATTGGAACATAATGACTGGGCCCACTCACTTGATGGACGCCTTCTTCAATTCAGCTTGTCTTTTCTGCACTTGTGGAACATCGATAATGAGCTTGATAACTTGCTAGTAACTGAAATGAAGCTCAAACGACCAGATTCTTTTGTGGTATCATCTGGTATGTTGGGTGACAGGGGCTCAATGACCATCACATTTCCAGGTTCTAGTTCAACTTTGGAGGTACTTTAGTGAATACGTTATTGATTATAATTGCTTGCCTCTGACTTGTATCTGAACACATTTAGATGTTAACATTGCAGTTATGGAGATCTTCATCTGAGTATTCTGCTTTGAGATCATTAACAATGGTGGCTCTTTCCCAGCATTTGACCAGCTTATCTCACTCTTGTTCTTCAGCAAGTAGGTATGACATTTTCAAGACCCCAGAAACATGTTTAAAGTGATTATGACTCATTTTTCTTTCAGTCTCTTATTTTCTTTTGCTGAAAAATATCATACACTTGTTTAAGGTGTCATCTTTTCCTAAATATATTTATTACACAGTTTGTATTGTCCTTTTGTGAATCACAATCATGATTTCTTGTAGAGATAAATTTAACGTTCAATTATTGTAAAATAATTTGGTTATTATAGTGGCACTAATAAATAACTAACGAGTTATAAAATATGTATACATATTTGTCCAATTTATTCATTTTCTTCATGATCTGTATTAAATTTTATAGATTGTTTTTCCAACTGATAATGTTCTATATATTTATATTTGTTCGAGTTCAAATAAAAAACTGAAAGGTCAAGAAAATAAATATGATCATTTGAATTAGAAGTAAACAACTTGGTGCCTAATGTAGAATGGATACTGTATTATTGTATAAATAACTTTTTGGTGATGAATTTTAAGGGAGTATTGTCATTATTATTCCCCAATTCATTGAACCCAAGAATTTCATCATAAGTAATGGACTGTATTTATTATATTTAAATGCAAGCAAGTGAACAATCATTTTGAAATTAGATGAATACTGCTAAAGACAACTTACTTATAACAATTAATACATATCTTAGGCGGGAAAACAGCTCCTGAACCAGCTACTTTGCTTTAATATAT